TAAGGATAAAGTCCCTGTTCCGCGAGGGTCTTAAATTTAAAAACCTGGAAAAGATAGTACCCTTTTGGGGAAGAGGAGGAAGAGAAATTCTTCAAGACCCCCAAATTAGGCGCTTCACTATCTCAAGTCTCTAAAAAATCTGACCTGTCTTTTGAGGACTCGGGTAACATCAAGGACCTGAAGGACCACAGGTCTGAGACGCTGTTGCATAGAGCCTGGGAAGCAAACGCAGCTACTATGGACAGAGCCTTGGCATCCGCTTGTATCGCTAGGAATACTGATGCCTGGATGCGTTGAGTAATTGATCATGTCTCTCAGGGGTTCCAAGAAAAAAGGGGACGCCCAGACTGAAGAGGTGTTGGAATCCCTGGAAGTGGTTAATAAGGCAGTCGCCTACGTAGCAGACACTGCAGTAAAGATGGTCAAGACATCAGCTAAGACTGCAGCGCTTATCAACTCAGCCCGTAGGGCGGTGTGGGTTAAGGCCTGGGAGACGTCTAGCGCCCGGCTCTGTGGTCTGCCCTTTGAGAGTTCATTGCTGTTTGCCTCAGGGCTGGACCAGGTGCTATCTAGGTTTGCTGAAATTCCCCGTGAAGGACAAGGAGAAGAAGTTTTTTGAGCCCCCCTTAGTCAGAGCCAGCAGAGGCTTAGGAAAGATTCTCCCAAGAAATGGGCCAAAAAAGGGTGCCAAAAAAGGAGTTTCCTTTTTATTCTGGCTCCAAACCCACCAGTAAGGATCCCCAATGACACAGATATCAGGGCTGTCCAGGTTTCTCCAGCAATGGGGGAAAGATTCAGAGAGCACGTACATCCTACAGTTGATAAAGCAGGGGTACCAGCTGTAATTCTCTTCAACCCCCCCCCCCCCCCCCCCTCATGCCTTTTTGTTGACTTATCCCTCCAGAGACAAGATAAAGGCAGAGGGTCTATTGGGAGGGGTCAGGGATTTAACGTATCAGGAGGTAATTGTCCCTCTGCCAACAGACCAGCTTTTCTGGGGCATTTATTCCCATGTCTTCGTGGTCCCAAAGCATTCAGGGAAATTCCTATTAATCTTAACCCTAAGAAGGTTGAACAGGTTCCTGCATTACAAAAAGTTCTGTATGAAAAGTATTTACAGTGTACGTAAGTTTATGGCCACGGTGGACCTCAGGGACACCTACCTCCACGTTACCATTGCTCCAGAACACCAAGCCTTCTTACAATGACTGGGGGGGGGGTCAGTCATTGGCAGTTCCAAGCCCTTCCGTTCAGACTAGCAGCCAGTCCGAGGATCTTCACCAAAGTTCTGGCCAAGGTGGTGGTGTATTTACACATTCAGGGGTTTTCCCTCATCCCCTATCTAGACGACCTGTTGATCTACAGGTTCTCACAACAGTAAGTCCTGAGAGACCTTGAAAAAGTGATCTTCACTTTGGAATTTTTGGGCTGGATTGTCAATCGGGAAAAGTCTTAATTGACTCCCTCCCAGACCAAGGGGTTCCTGTGGTATGTAGTGGACTCAAGAGTCCAGAGGCTCTTGCCCAAAGAAAACACCGACAAGGTAGTGGAGGTTGTTTCCAGGTTGATTATGGCACCGGATTGTTCCAGGAGGCACATCATGAGAGTGGTAGGACTCATGAAAACCTGCATCCAACTGTGGAGTGGGCACAGCTACATTCCAGGGAACTTCAGTTTTTCCTTCTATTCTTGTGGGATAGGAAAACGGAGTCTCTGGACGAGAGGGTGTCTCTCCTGGAAAATGTAAAAGACTCGCTAGGATGGTGGATCAAACCCCACAATCTGGGGGCAGGAAAACCATGAGCGCAGTGGGATCCAGTGCGGGTAAACACGGACGCAAGCGAGTGGAGATAGGGAGTTGAGAAGCCGAAGCCTGTGTGAGAGCCGCACCTGAGGGAGACCTCCTCCAACTACAGGGAGTTGTTGGCAGTAGGTCAGGCCTTTAAAGTCCTTCGAAGCCAGGATCGGGGAAAAAGAAGTCCAAATTCTGTCGGACAATATGTTGACAGTGGCATACCTGAATCATCAGGGGGCCACTAGATCCTGGAAACCCCTGGACCTAGCTCAGGAGATTCTAGGATGGGTGGAGAGCAGGGTCCTTTTGGTGTCTGTGGTCCACATAAAAGGCTCAGCCAACATGAAAGCAGACTTTCTCAGCTGACAGTTAATGCACCAGTGGGATCTCAATCTCGAGGTCTTTTTACAGCTAAGTCAAGTTTTTGGCAGCCAAGAAATGGACCTTTTTGCCTGCAGGAAAAACAGGAAAGTGAGGCATTATTTCTCCATGGCCTGGAAACAAGTCCGAGGGTCTGGACGCAGTAGCACAGGAATAGGACTTCGAGCTGACATACGCTTTCCCCCCTTTGGCATTGATCCAATGAGTGCTACAGAAGTTGAGATGGTCAAGTTGCAGATTGATCCTGCTAGATCCGTGGTGGCCGAGAAGGGCTTGGTTTGTCACTTTGAAAAGGTGGTCTGTGGCTCCCCCGCAGCGCCTTCCAGTCAGGGAGGATCTTCTCTTGTTGGTGCCAACTGTACACCCCGATCCAGAGTTTTTTCGATTGACGGTTTGGCTCTGAAAGGGAGATCCTTAGGAGAAGGGGGTGTTCGGGGAAGGTAATAGACATTGTTCTCCTCAGCAGGAAACAAGTGACCAGGAATATATACGCCAAAGTATGAGGTGTGTTTTCTAGTTGGTGTCAAGAAAAGGGGGTTTCTTTTCCCACGGTCCTTGTGGTCTTAGACTTTCTCCAGGCAAGGGTGGATAAAGATATAACAGTAAACAACCTAAGGGTGCAAGTGGCGGCCTTATCGGTCTATTTAGACCAGAGACTTGCATCAGAGCCCTTAGTTAAGAGATTTCTGGGGTCCAAGAAAAGAGTGGCCCCCATTAAGAGTCATAGTTTTCCGGCTTGGGATCTAACATTGGTGTTAGAGATAACCAAATCACCATTTGAGCCAGTGGCACAGATTTTGGTTAGGATGTTATTTTTTAAGTTAACCTTTCTGTTAGCCATCACAACAGCAAGGAGAATAGGCGACTTTCAGAGCCTGTCAATCAAGGTACCCTTTCTGGTGGTATTAGAGGACAGGGTAGTGCTTAGACAGGATCCTCTTTATATGCCCAAGGACACAAGAGATGTTCTTATCGTCCTTTTGTCAAAACCCTAAGAATGAGAGGGAAAAGAGTTTTCATTGTTTTGATCTCAGACTGTGTTTGTTGACTTATTTGGAAAGAGTAAGTGACTTCAGGAAGTCGAGTAACCTTTTGATTCTGTTTAGCAGCCCAAGGAAGGGACAGCAAGCAGCTAAACCCACAATAGCTAGATGGATCAAACAAACTATCTCCTTTAGCTTATGACCAGTCAGAGGTTTCAGTTCCTTTACACCTAAGGGCTCACTCTACTAGATTGCTGGCGACCTCTTGCATGGAGAGGGCTGGAGCATTGATTGAACAGATCTTCCCAGCAGCCACTTGGACAAGCCAGGATATCTTCGTGAGACACTACAGGGTAGATCTGTTGTCACCACAGGACCTGGCAATCAGCAGGAAAGTATACAGGCAGTAGGCCTGAGTTCCGTGCTTCTTGTTTCTGGGAAATCTTCCAGGATGGCAGGCCTACTTCCCACCCGTGTCTGGTGTTGTTTTATTTGGGGTAGAAAAGCTTTCATGCACCAAGGTGTGGGAATATTCTTGCATAAACTTAGGAGGGGAGGAAAGGTTGGGGAGTTTAAACTGTCAATTTTTCTATTGTGTTTCCTGTCAGGTGGAGCTAGTTATCTCAGGTGTGCCGTCCTGGAAGATTTCCCAGAAACACTGTTACCGATAAGTGTAACCGGTACTTTTTCCCATGCAGTGGGGCTGTGCCTGCACTGCATGAGTTAAGTGCTCATTTTGTCCAGGGGCTCAGGGAAAAGCTGTACTAACCCATTCCTCCGATCTTCTGGAAAACAGAGCTCCCCCACGTCCAGCTGTGGACTGTTTATGTCATCCTCCCGTCTGGAGCTGGTCTATGGGTGTGATGACCTCAGTAACCGTCCATACTCAGTAGTGGCGGGGACCGGTCTTGTGCTCTGAGGATTGGCAGATTAGGTAAGTATATCTTTGCTTTCCAAGCCCCTAGACAAAAATTAGCATTTCACCCATGCAGTGCGGGTACAGCCCCACTGCATGGGAAAATAATCATTTTGCCAGGAATTCTTCTTTAAGTGGTTATGTGGTGCTGGAAAAATAGCCAGCATGAATCTCCAAATCAAGGAGCAGAATACATCAGTTCCTGTGATTATATAGGAAATCTGATGACATTTTGGGGATTTCCAGCAGTGACCTTTTCTCTTGCTTCAATACTTTATTGCAGTAGTGCTCTATTACTGAGTGAAAACAGTGAGAGAAAACCACTATTCCAATTCCAATCCTCTACATGAATTGGGAAGGACCTGAGCCAGTCAACTTCAGAGGGGGGTGGGGGTGGAATCGTAAGTAAAACATACTTTAGAAAATAGCTCAACCATTAACTACCACAACTACCCCCCCCCCCCCCCAGTTTCCATTACAAAAACAGTGCCTGTTTCAAATAAAAAGAGTATATAAAGTAGGCAGCACACATTTTCTATGGTGTCTACACCAATGCACTACATTGTGTGCTGGTAAAAAGGACATATTGCATTCCAGTGGGTGTGCATTAAAAAGATGCTAATGAATGCATGTGCTATGTTATTACAGACCGTAATGTAGAATGAGCTTGCTTATTTAATGTTGTCATTCTAAAGGAAAATGTCTGCATATGCCACAACAACCTGTAGAATTTATTTATTTATTTGGTAATCCCTAAAAGACAGCTTTGTGTTGCTAAGGGTAAGCACTTTCTCTTGCTTTCTATATATAAGGTCCTGGGATTTTTTTTTTTTTTTTTTGTTTTTGCTTTTTTTTGTTTTGCATACTGCATTTTTTTCTTATACAGAGAAACAATATTGACATGCCGTATATGACCTGCTTACAGATATGAATGAGTGTGAGACTGATGAGAAAATATGTGTCAGAGATAATGAGGACTGTATAAACATCCCTGGAACCTATAAATGTGTCTGTGCTGAAGGCTTTGAAGAACAGGATGGACAGTGTGTAGCCCTTACAAAGAAGGTAATATTTGTGCAAACTCTATGTAATTCTGTTGGTAGATAAATCAATAAAACGTCTTTGAGCATATTAGGACTTATTATTTATTTCAGGTACTTATATAGCGCAGTCAATTTACACAGCACTTTTACATATATATTGTACATTCACATCAGCTCCTAACCCTCAAGGAGCGTACAATCTAAGGTCCCTAACTCACATTCATACATAGACATACTAGGGACAATTTAGACAGGAGCCAATTAACCTAACAGCATGTCTTTGGAGTGTGGGAGGAAACCAGAGTACCCACGCAGGCACAGGGAGAACATGCAAACTCCAGGCAGGAGGTGCCGTGGCTGGGATTTGAACCAATGACCCGAGTACTGCCAGGCAGATGTGCTAACCATTTAGCCACCGTGCTGCCCAGGACTTGTGTACATGTGTGGTGTTTGTCAGTTATGGGACTGCATTGCATTTGTTTGGACGTAAAGGAGCAGACAGGATCTGGAGCAGATGTGAAAGACAACCAATCGGCTTCTATTTTCAGCTTGTTCAGTTAAAGGATAAGTTCACTTTTGGGAAACATGTTACATGTTCCACCCGTTTTTAGGGTGGAACATGTAACATGTTTCCATAGCCACAGCCACCACCCCTCCCTCTGACAGATAATTTGAGAAGTCTCCCTGTACTATCTGTCAAATTTTAAACCAGCGTGGCCCTGCGGGGCTCCGCCCACACGGCCAGGTTATTTATTCATGGACTTCCGTGAATGAATGAACTTCAAGTCCCGGCAGCCTTAGTGGCTGTGATCTTGTAGTTTTCAATGAGCTACTACAGAGCTATGAAGCACCATGTTAGTTCATTGAAGCTGCCTGTCAGAATATCTGCTTGCTCATACATCCCGTATGGCAAGCAGATATTCTGACTGGTCTGAAGGAGACCTGCATAGCATCAGTGATCTACTGATTGCTGGTGCAATGCGTTCCAGGCTCTTGTAGACAAAAATAATAAATGCACATTATTTTTTACCTGCAAAACAATGTGCATGTATTATTTTTGTCTAAAAGGTGAACTTATCCTTTAAGCTTTGAAAGTGAAAGGTAGAAGTTGATTGGTTTCTATGCACTGCTGCTCAAATTTTGGCTATTCCAGATTTTGGGTATGTCCTATTGAGATTGCGTAGGCAAAGGAGGCCTTTGCTGTAATTTGAATGCCACTGTACACAAATGTCAAAGCCAGTGTTTGAAAGAAACATCCATGCACACAAGGGATAAAGGTTAATTATCCAAAACTACATGTGCTTAACAAAGATCTGTTTTTTATTGATTTTTGGCAAGTAATAAATATAAAAACCATGGAACTTAATGTGGCCGCTTCAAGACATTCTCACATATTTAGGAAAAAGTATATTCATACTAGAGCATGTGTCTGTTCCTTTCTAATACAATTAGGGCTCATGCACACTGGGCAAAAAAAATTGCTGCTTATACAGGATTTTGGCATTTGTTTTCTTCAGCCTGTATAAGCTATATTATTCTATTTTTTCATGCACTTTAGGGTGTTTACAGGCTTCTTTACAGAGGAGCTTTTTTCAGGCTGAAAAAAACCCTTCACAAGTCTGTTTCTGAGAGGAACTTTCTGGCAGAAAAAATGTTTAATGCACATTCAACTGCAGCATTTAGAAGCATTACATGTTCTCAAATGTATACTGAATATAGTAAAAAAAAAAAGAGTAGCGAGGAATATTTTGGGGAAAAAAACGCTTATAAATGCAAATGCCCATAAAGCGCACATATTCTTGTGCAATACGAGCCAATATGAGCATTTTGTTATGCTGCTTTTCTGCCAGAGGTTCTGGCATTTTTTCAGCCACCTAGTGTGCATGGACCCTTACCTGTCTGGCTATATTTTCTTGTAGCTCCCCATGTTCCTATACATATTCACTGATGATGACCAATAAGCCTGAAACAGCTGTATGCAGTTTGAAATAGATGGCTGTTTAATATTAGGCTGTGTAAACAAGATGTACAGTTTGGACAAGTGATATAAAGGAATGTTTCACATGCTTTCTCCAACTATTCTTAAATGAAGAGTCCTTACTAGCTCATGTTCTTAATAGAAGTGATTACATGTAAGCACCTTCTGTTTTCTATAGGCTTTTTAATGCTTCACAGTGAATTAGTGGTGGGGAAAGTGCTTTCTTTCATCACCGCTATTCATAAACCAGTAATACTTTCTCATAATATTTGTTCATTTACATTTGGTTATCTATTTACCAAATAGCAGCAGTGTTCTTATTGCACAATTGGGAGAATATTGTATATAAACATTTAAGTGAAATATGTTCAAATGTTTGCATGTCCAAAGTATCGTTTTTAACAATCTTGCAATTGATTGTTTTACTCCATAGATGAAGAAACCGTTACTCAGCAAAACGTGACATCTGATGCAGCACAAGGATCAATAAATATACATGAGGACCTCTGACCCACATCCTTAATTTAAATATTTTAAGTTATTGGACTCCAACCTGTTATGTGAATAACAAGTTTGGCAACCGTTATCATTTTATCTGGTATTCAGATGGGATTTGCCCTGAAGGCTGCACACATTTCTTTGCAAAAACAAGATGTGTCTTATATTTTGATAATACTTTCTAATAAATGTTTATTCAGTAAAAAATGTATAACAAGCATGCTTTACTGCACATACAGACTGATTTTACTGTTGTGGGTTTAGTAACACTTTAAAGTAAAACATGTTTATGTAGCAGTATGCCCCCTCACCCTCCCCCCTTACTTGCCTGAGCCCTCACTCGTGCCTTTCTGCAGCAGCTCTCTCCCTCACCCCGCTTTGCTGCAAGCAGTCAGGCAAATTCTGTCAGTCCTGTGACATAGTTACGTATTTTCCGGCGTATAAGACAACTTTTTGACCCTTGAAAATCTTCTCACAAGTCGGGGGTCGTCTTATACGCCGGTATACGTCAGGGTGGCACTTTTTAGAGGGGCGGCGCGGTGCCGCCGCTGTCCCCCCCTTCTGACCGAAGGGACACCAAGTACAGGGGTGGGCAGAGGGCTGCTCTCTCTTACCTGGCTCCCACAACGATCCATCCAGGAAGCGCTGCTCCTTCAGTCACTCCGGCCACTCCCTCACTCCTGCCGCTTGGCTCCGCCTCCTCACCGGTGATTGGCCTCCAGAACTGTAGTTCAGGAAAGGCACACAGGCGGCCAATCACGGGCGAGGAGGCGGAGCCGAGCGGACCCGCAAAAATCGAGTGAGGGAGCCGGTAAGTGTGCAGTGCAGAGGTGCTGCTGTAACCACATATGCTGGCTGCAGCAGCACCATACTGGAACAGGGGTCAGCAAGTGTCATTGGTGTCAGCGGGAGGAATAGTGCCCCATCATTGGTGTCACTGATACTAATGATGGGGCATTATTCCTCCCACGGACACCAATGATGGGTTGCTATTCCTCCCACTGACACCAATGATGGGGCACGATTCCTCCCTCTAACACCAATGATGGGCACTATTCCTCCCACTGACACTAATGATGGGACACCATCATTGGTGTCAATGGGAGGAATAGTGCCTCATCATTGGTGTCAGTGGGAGGAATCGTGCCCCATCATTGGTGTCCGTGGGAGGAATCGTGCCCCATCATTGGTGTCCGTGGGAGGAATCGTGCCCCATCATCGGTGTCCGTGGGAGGAATCGTGCCCCATCATCGGTGTCCGTGGGAGGAATCGTGCCCCATCATTGGTGTCAGTGGGAGGAATAATGCCCCATCATTGGTGTCAGTGGGAGGAATAGTGCCCCATCATTGGCGTCAGAGCGAGGAATCGTGCCCCATCATTGGCGTCAGAGCGAGGAATCGTGCCCCATCATTGGTGTCAAAGCGAGGAATCGTGCCCCATCATTGGAATACCATACTGAAATACCATACCATATTGAAATCAAATCTGATGTTTTTTAATTTTCATTTGGTATGCGTTGGAAGAGGGGTAGTCTTATACGGTGAGCATAGCCCAAACCCTATATTTTAACAGGAAAAGTAGGGGGTCGTCTTATATGCCCAGTCGTCTTATACGTCGGAAAATACGGTACATAGTTAATCTGGTAAAAAAAAACACTAAGTCCATCCATTTCAACGAAGAGTATATTCAGCATATACAAAAAGAATACAACATTTTTCATAAAAAAAGTGCAATATCTATTTCTGTCAATAAAAGCATGCAGCATGGGTGCAGGGACTGTTATCCACATACAAGTCAATGGGAATGTAAAGGCACTTTGATATGGCTTAGGAGGTCTGAAACAGGTCCAAAGGATCTCCGACTGAACTCAATTGAAAAGCATGCTGCATTTGCCCACCTACACAAGCTCTAACAATTCCATTGGGGACACGTTTTGCACAATAAGGAAAGTATCCAGTTTTAATGGTCAACTTCATATTCGTTTATGGTTAGGGTAAAGCATATCTAAACCCTACCCAAAAATGTAATATATTGTAGTTTACAGTCTTTAGATGTGGCTGCATTAGTTTTCTTTTTTAGGCTTTCCTTATTTTTACCTGGTGATCCTGCCAGTATCTGTTAATTTTTTGGTTTCCTTTAATAAACCAAGCTGTCCAGCAAAAGTGGCAGTTAGAGGGTTGAGTTGACAAACCATATAACACTGACAGGGATACTTACAATGGCCATTTTTTTATTCACTTGGTTAAAACCTTTTATCCAAAAAGGAAAAAGCAATACAGACAGAACAGAAGGTTAATAAATCACAGTATTCCAGAGGAGCAGACAACATTCTTGCTCCAGCCAAGCAGCAGGTTTCACCATAACCACAGAAATCAGGTACTGTAACTGCTTAGACAGTGTTCGCTTGAGATAGATGGTAATTTGCCAGTGATGTAAAGTCCATCTAAATCTACTAATCCAGGGGTCTCCAAACTGCGGCCCAAGGGCTGGATGTGGCCCTTTGCTAGCCTTTATCCGGGCCCTTGGGGCACTATTCCTCCCTGTGACACCAACGATGGGGCACTATTCCTCCCTGCAACACCAACAATGGGGCACTATTCCTCTCACTGATACAAACGATGGGGCACTATTCCTCCCTGCGACACCAACAATGGGGCACTATTCCTCTCACTGATAAAAATGATGGGGCACTATTCCTCCCACTGATGCCAACGTTGGGGCACTATTCCTCCCACTGATGCCAACGTTGGGGCACTATTCCTCCCACTGATGCCAACGTTGGGGCACTATTCCTCCCACTGACACAAATGATGGAGCACTATTCCTCCCACTGATGCCAACGTTGGGGCACTATTCCTTACACTGATGCCAACGTTGGGGCACTATTCCTTACACTGATGCCAACGTTGGGGCACTATTCCTCCCACTGACACAAATGATGGAGCACTATTCTTCCCACTGATACCAATGTTGGGGCACTATTCCTCCCCCTGATACCAATGTTGGAGCACTATTCCTCCCCCTGATACCAACGTTGGGGCACTATTCCTCCCCCTGATACCAACGTTGGGGCACTATTCCTCCCCCTGATACCAACGTTGGGGCACTATTCCTCCCCCTGATACCAACGTTGGGGCACTATTCCTCCCCCTGATACCAACGTTGGGGCACTATTCCTCCCCCTGATACCAACGTTGGGGCACTATTCCTCCCCCTGATACCAACGTTGGGGCACTATTTCTCCCCCTGATAGCAATGTTGGGGCACTATTCCTCCTCCTGATACCAACATTGGGGCACAATTCCTCCCGCTGATACGAACATTGGGGCACTATTCCTCTCGCTGATACGAACGATGGGGCACTGTTCCTCTCGCTGATACGAACGATGGGACACTGTTCCTCCCGCTGATACCAATGTAGGGGCACTATTCCTCCCACTGATACCAACAATGGGGCACTACTCTTCCCCCTACTGACCACCAACCCTGAGGCCATGTTTATTTTCACTGATGCTGGGCCCAGGATATTTTTGCCCCAACTGGCCACAACCCGACCCTCCTAAAGTCCAAAGGACAGTAAACTGGCCCTTTGTTTGAAAAGTTTGGAGACCGATGTACTATCTAACAGTGCCCTCTCCACGTGTTGACAATGCCTCTGTCTGTTAGTGGCTATGTTGCTCTTCCATAGGTACAGTGAGGATTGAGTGCAGCCATCTTAAGGCAGGAATTGTGTTACTGGCCAGATCAAGTGAAAAGAAAGTGGGGGGAGGCTAAAAAAAAGAAAAACTAATGCAGACACCACATCTAATGACTGGTAAGCTGCAATATATTACATTTTTGCTTTTAAATTGAGATGTGCTTTAAAGGTTAAGTAAAAGTTTTAGTGGCTAAGTTTTGAATGAAGGGACTTGTGTTGAAGTCAAGGTTAATGTTTTTGTAATGCAGGCCACTGTAGGGTTAATTGTGAGGGTCATGATAAGAGCTAGGTATACCTTTTAGTGTGATGGCTGCACCCATTTTTTAACATATATTCAGCTCAGATTTTCCCAACTCGAAAACAATTCCACCATGTATCTGATGACACTGTATGTTCTATCCATTATGTGTCAGATAAGTCACCTAGATTAAACTTCAAATCACACTGATACCTTAATGTCCCTTGGTCAGCAAATAAAAATAATACATCCAGTAGAAGGTCATTCACTGCACAGGAAAGGTACACTGGTGGAGATATGCTGATCACATTATGCAAAGGCAAATATAAGGCTATCCACATACTACAAGTCTCCCTTTATCAAATGTTTGGGCTAAGCGAACGTTGGAGATTTATTTGAAGTATAATTGAAGTAACCTGATGAAGTGGCTGATGCAATGTATACTTGGTACTGTACTACAATGCATTGCTGTAAATAACTTCTATAACTAATGTATAACATACATTATTTCTCTACAATATTTATGTAAATGCCTAATGGGTGACCCTGTTACATGTTTTATGTTTCTTTAAGTTTAAGGATGGAAGAGTACAATTAGGTATTTAATACCCCAGAGAGCATATGGTTGTTATTGGTGAATACATTTTTGTCTTATAATAATACAGTACAAGACACATGAATTAATTCTTAGACCCTGGATTATATGCCGCTGCTTTAATTTGTCTGCAAATAAGCAAAAGATTTGCTGGGACCACTCCTCTCCACTGTATTCATATCTATTAGGCTCCACATGTCCTTGGGTGATGGATCCCTTCTCCTTTTGGAGAAGATTGTTTGTTTTTCTGTGTTTCACTTGATTTCTTTCAGACTGCTTATTGCATTATGTCTCACTAGCAGTTTCTGAATTGGTTCTATTGTTGTTCCCTCCTTTAAGGATTCGGTTGATAGGCATTTGGAGACTCTTTTAAAGTCTTTGTTTGCACGCTCCCTTTTGAAGGTATGCTTCTCTTTGGGAAATGTATTTAAGGTGTATATTGAGGTGGCTACTGAGCCAAGAGGGTACCTACAGTACACCACTATCCACAGTCCTCTCCCTATTGAATGCTTTTCTTACATTATATGGGGGCCAGGTATCCTAGAAGCTTGTTCTTGTTTCTCTCCTTCTGTGGGAATGTCATTCTGCCTCCCCATGTCCAACCTGAAGGCATGTTAAACATTTTACCATTTTCCTTATACAGTAGGTGGGAAAAAGAGTGTCATCTATATCTACTTGCCACGTCTTCTTCACTTGGGAATTGACTCATCGTCTCTTTCCTACAGGGTAGTCCCTCTATGGCAGTGATGGCGAACCTTTTTAAGCCCGAATGCCCAAAACTGCAACACAGAACCAACTTTTTTATTTCAAAGTGCCAACACTGCAATTAACCACTTGCCTACCGGGCACTTCTACCCTTCCTGCCCAGACCAATTTTCAGCTTTCAGTGCTGTTGCACTTGACAATGACAATTGTGCGGTCATGCAACACTCATTTTTTCACACAAATAGAGCTTTTTTTGGTGGTATTTAATCACCACTGGGTGTTTTATTTTTTGCACTATAAATGAAAAAAGAGCAAAAAATTAAAAACATAAAAGGTTTTCTTTGCTTCTCTTATAACATTTTGCAAACAGGTAATATTTCTTCTTTGATGTGCGTTGGTGAGGCTGCACTAATAGGCAGCACTGATGGGCATTGATGAGGTGGCACAGATAGGCGGCACTGGTGGGCATTGATGAGGAGGCACCGATGATGCACTGATATGCAGCAATGATGGGCACTGATAAGCGGCACTGACTGAGAGCACCAACTGGAGGCACTGACGGACGGCACTGCTGGGCATCATTGATGGGTGGCTCTGATGGGCAGCACTGATGGGCGACACTGCTGGGCACTGACAGGTGGCACTGCTGGGCAGCACTGACAGGCGACACTGCTGGGCACTGATGGGTGACACTGCAAGCAGTTAATCTCACCTCTGGCAGTGTCGGTGTGGCTTCCAACCCAGCAGCTCATTCCCATCCACGCTGAACACGTTGCCCCTGGCCCCGGAGCAGTGTGGGAGCCTCTTCCTCTCTTCCACGCCCATCCCCGGTTACATCACCCCTGGTGCCAGATCCGCATAGGAGCCGTTTCCTCTCGTCCACACCCACCCTGGCCCCAGAGACATGTGGGAAATGTAGTTTGATGGGGGTCCAGTGTGGACGAGATCTGGATGACCGGTCAGTGTGCGTGGTCCGTGTGCGCTCATCTTCCTCTTCTTCCTGGCGTGGCCACTGAGATGGCTCTGCGTGCCAGTTCTAGCACGTGTGCCATAGGTTCGCCATCACTGCTCTATGGGATTGCTCCATCTTCTACCCAACTGGGTGGTCATTTTCCTTTTTTTTCTAGGACTTCTGCTCTCAGGGAATGAGCTTCTCTTTTTTTGC